ACGCGTTAGAACAGAGGCCAGAAAGCATCTTTTAATGACATTTCCTGACTTCGAGGGAAGCATGCGCAGTTCTCAGAAAGTCTTTCCTGCGATGAGATCCCATTTTGATCCCGAAGAGTTCCTGCTCTATTAAGCAGTACATTTGCTAACAACTTCTTACGTTCAGATTTTCTAATAGAAAATTAACTTTGGCTAATGTAAGAGATGCTTCCTGGAATGAAGGTAATATCAGGAAATAAATGCTAACAGCATCTATGTAGTTAAGTGAAGCACAATTTCTGTGTATGAAAGATAAATCAAAGGACAAACAATTTAATGCTATCCCCCTTTTTCTCCAGGGAAGTCTGCGATGGGTTCCATTTATAAGCTCTTAAATGTGCACATGGTTCCCCTATGTTCTGTCTTTAAATGCTGAAGATTTATTAAAGCAAAGCATCACACTGCCAGACAGATATTATTAGAAACATTTTTATTTAAATTCAGACAATAGAAAGGTATTGCAGAAAAAATTACAGACACTTGCAACAATGGAATGCCACTTGGAAAATTTATTGGTAAAGAAGGAGGGGAAAGTTATTCCTAATTTTACCAAGTACTTTGTTAGTCCTTAATAGAATAATTTATAAATTCAGCAAAGTATACCCCCTTGCTGGTGTCTTTTGAGCAGACAGTAGATTAAAACAATGTCATTCATCTACAAAACTGGTATCTAGTAAAACCTTCTAAAGTAAAATAGTCAAGGCAGCATTTCCCCAACATGTGAGACACAACTTGGAGGAAGTAAAATAATTGCAGTAGAAAGTTAAAAAAAAAAAGTCATACTGAATAGGTATCACCTGGATTTCAGCCCACAGCTAGTGCTTGTGTATCTAATAGAAAATGAACAATTTTAAACCCGGACAGCTCCCACCCACCCCCATCTCTGGCCCCAACCAGCAACACACATACAAAGATGCCCTACCTAGACTGTGCATGCACAAAAGCCCTAGACTAATAACAAAATGACATGAGCCCTGGAGCCCTGGATCTATGCTGAGCCCTTTCTGAATCCTGGATGGATGGGCCAGTGGGTTTAGGGTAAGGAATGTAAAAAATCTTTAAACTTTGGCAAGTAAGTATACAAATGACTCTTTTGATTGTCACTTTTGTAAGGAAATAACATTCTACCTGTTGAAAAGATATTCTTCTCTCATATGTGACTTCCCTCTCAAACATTTGAAGGCAACTTTCTATAAAATACAGTTGGACTGAAACTTCTATTTTATAATGGTTTATCATTTTTGACTTTCTCTATTTAAACAATGTATAAAAGGTATAGTCTAGGACAGGTGTGGTGGCTCATGCCTATAATCTCAGCACTCTAAGAGGTTGAGGTGGGCGAATCATTTGAGGTCAGGAGTTCGGAGACCAGCCTGGACAACACGGTGAAACCCCATCTCTACTAAAAATATAAAAAACTAGCTGGGTATGGTGGTAGGCGCCTGTAATCCCAGCTATTCAGGAGGCTGAGGCAGGAGAATCACTTGAACCTGGGAGGCAGAGGTTGCAGTGAGCCGAGATGGCACCACTGCACTCCAGCCTGGGCAACAGAGTGAGACTTCATCTAAAAAAAAAAAAAGTATAAATAACCCCCAAGATGTTGGTGGTAATGGAGGTTTGAGAACACTATGGTTAATTTTTTAAAAATTGGACCTCTATATATTTAATTTCTTTACAATAAATTACATATAAGACTTCTGATAATGCAAATTTCACCACTCCTTTCAATCTTAATACTCTTATGAAGGTATTAGAATCAGTAATGAGCCAAAAAGTATGGGGCCTATCTGCAGAGCTGGTTTTTTTCTAAAATGCTATAAAATCAGCTATATATTCATTTTTTTCTTATAAACCCTAAGCTTAAAAAACAAGAGGCTCAAGAATAAACAATGCTGTAAAATACTATTCCAAGAACTCACAGTCTTCTTTGAACTCACAGGTCTTCTTTAAGCCTACAATAATTTTGCTAACAGTAGCATGGTTCTTCTATAATGAAAGGCATTTAAAGATCAGATACAAGATCCAAAATTAGAGTCAAATCCTAACTTGAAAGGGAAAATTATTGTTCATGGTGTCTGGATAAAAGGAAATTTAAATGCTATTGATAATTCACTGGTTAGGCCTAATTATTTATTTTAAAATAAAAGACTGGCCAAGAGCAGTGGCTGACGCCTGTAATCCCAACACCTTGGGAGGCCAGGGCATGTGGATCACTTGAGGTCAGGAGTGGCCTGGCCAACATGGTGAAACCCTGTCTCCACCAGAAATATAAAAAATTAGCCAGGTGTAGTGGTGCACGCCTGTAATCCCAGCTACTCAGGAGGCTGAGGCAGAGGAATCACTTGAACCCGAAAGGCAGAGGTTGCAGTGGGCCAAGATCATGCCACTGCATTTCAGCCTGGGTGACAGAGTAAGACTCCATCTCAAAAAAATAAATATATAAATAAAAATAATAATAATGAAAAAAAGACTGAGCCAGGTGCGGTGGCTCATGCCTGTAATCCCAGCACTTTAAGAGGCCAAGACTGGTGGATCACTTGAGGCCAGGAGTTCAAGATCAGCCTGGTCAACATGGTGAAACCCCGTCTCTACCAAAAAATACAAAAAATAGCTGGGTGTGGTGGCACATGCCTGTAGTTCCAGCTACTCGTGAGGCTATGGTGGGAGAAGTGCTTGAACCTGGGAGGCAGAGGCTGCAGGGAGCTGAGATTGAGCCATTGCACTTTAGCCTGGGCTACAGAGTGAGACTGTCTCAACAAAACAAAACAAAACAAAACAAACAAACAAACAAAAAAACAGGCTGGGCACGTTGGCTCATGCCTGTAATCCAAGCACTGTGGGAGGTCACGGTGGGTGCATCACCTAAGGTCAGGAGTTCGAGACCAACCTGACCAATATGGTGAGACCCTGCCTCTAGTTAAAAAAAAAAAAAAAAAAAAAAAAAAGCTGGGTGTGGTGGTACGTGCCTGTAAGCCCAACTACTAGGGAGGCTGAGGCAGGAGAATCACTTGAACCCGGGAGGTAGAGGTTGCAGTGATCTGAGATTGCACCATTGCACTCCAACCAACCTGGGCAATAAGAGTGAAAACTGTCTCAAACAAACAAAAAAACAGCAAATAAGAATTACCGAAAAAAAAGACTGGCTATGCAGTTATTTTTCTGGTTACGGAAAAAAAATGCTGCAGACATTTATAGGAATAAATTATTGATCAATCCAAACACTCACCATGAAGTAATCTTCTAAGTCTGAAGGACTCTTAAAGTTATGAATTATTACAGAAACATCGAGCTCCTAAGTTGCCATAACCTGTCTTCACATTGTTTGGGGTGAAGGTGAGGACAAAAAAGAGAAGGTGGGCTCTCTGGGTCTATCACAAGAGATATAACTCGTAAGCGGCATTCTTTCTAATGTGGTCATGGAATGCTTCTGCCACATCTGTTGTAATGGGTGACAGCACCTGTAGAACTGACACTTGGATGGATGTCAGGAAGCCATCAACAAGCAGTTAACAAAGCACCCACTGTGTGCCTGTGTGCCTACAACTAGGCCTGTTTCTATGGGCAAGTATAAAAATAAGGAGATACACACAGGTCCTGCCTCCAAAAGCATAAAATAGTATTTTAAACATGTTTTTGTTTCTTATTTCAAAATTAGAAATTCTAAGTACTATGTAGATGTTAACCAAAAGTCCTTTCTTGGGTTTGTATCCTTTCCAGGAAAGGCAGGTTAATATGGGCTTTGTCACAACTGGCAGATACTGTTGATAAATGACATACTCAAACACAAAACTCCAGCAATATAGTGATTTGTAGCTGCCAAAACTGTTTCTGCAAACCACATTAAACCACATCAAGCTTAGGGAAAAGGTATTATGTAAATGCTAAAGAGTAACACCTAAGAAGAAAATAGCTTTGAACCCTCAAGCTGTTTGGTTATATATGTCAAAGGATAGATTTCCTAAACTAAGTCTTATTTAAACTAGTTTACAAATGCTTATATATTCTACTGGACTTAATTTTGAACATAATATCATCAAGTAGTGCCAGACCATTTTTGAAAAGATAATTTGTGAAATTAACAGAAAGCTCAATTACTGAAGCTTGTGGGGAGGGGGACCCTATCAGTGGACCGAATGACTGCAGACCACCCCGCCAAGGTACAGCCTTCAGCACAGTCCAGCCCTCCAAAAACATCAGGGAAAACATCTCCACTACAGATTCTATGTCATGCAAATGGAAAGATTGTCACAGCCTCTCTAAGATCTCATATCCTGGTCCCTAGAAGCTTCCTAACTTCTAGTGGTCATTAACTAAAGAAACATAATACCTTTATTGACTAAGTGGTCACTCAGAAAGACCTCAATGTGACATGTCTGAAGAAATACATATTACAGACTGGGTGTGAACAGATCTGTTGTTTCTAAGAGCTGGTGGCTCTCATATTGAATGAGCTGGCCACTCTGCCCAAATATGCTATGATTTAAACAAACACATCATGCACTATGAACTGCCATAGCATTTTTAACCCTCCATCAATATGCAACCTGTATAAAATGGGCAGAGAAGTCAGATCTTGGAGAGACACAAGTCTATATAGCTCTAAGGTAGGGAAGTCCTATGTCTTCCTGATATACATTTAAGGAAACTGTTAACTTGATGGGTTAATATTCACTTGAACAGCTTCTCAGGAAATTCTACTGTTGTGTATTCTGTGCATGTCATCTGAAGCTTTGTAAAATTGCAAACCATACAAACTATATCATGTTATTTTGGAATTTGTACAACTTAATGCATCCTAATGGGAGCATAATGATTATGTTCATTCAAGTTATAAGCAATTTTATATTTACAAATACCTTACAAAAATAATTCATTCTTTACATCAAATATGTGAGCAATCAAAATTAACCCCATTTCATAGATAAGCAACTAGATATTGATATAAATGGCACAGAAATCAATTCAGAACAAAAATATGAATTTATTCTCTTTAAACTTCCAGCCCTTGTAAAGCCTTCCTACTTCTCTCTAATTAATTCAGCAGAGTGGTTTAGCTAAAAGTTCACACAGGATTTCTTTACTACCCAACTGTTCTTCCACTCTTAAAATAAGTAGGAGGAACACTACTATTCAAAGTTCCATGGCTAAAGGATTAACAGAAACCTAAGCACACATCATTTCACAATTAGGCTCTTTCAGTTGCAGCCTAATTTGGGAGTTTGAAACATTCAGCTGGGAAATACAGAGGTTGCAGATAGAAACAGACCCAATTTTTGAAATAGAGTTTGGAATCACACCAACATTTGATTTGTTTTTAAGGTTCACAATGAAAGCTTAACAAAGATATGGGAAAGTAGTTGCTGAATCTAAATTCTCATGATCTTCTGTGTGTTCCATTTCAGCCCTCTGATAGATCCACTCTATTAATCATCAAAGTAAACAGGTATAGAATTTTCATCACAAACAGTATGAATAGTTAAGTTACATCTCCATGGATGTGCCTATCCAGACTCTTAAGACTCAAGTTATTTCTGTTATTTCTAAATGTGTGGCTTCTAACAATAGGAACATAACTTTCTTGTCCATCTAACAGTGAAATTCAAATCACATGGATTCTAAAAACACGACTCACCTTTAAGAAGAGCTATTTATTAGGGGAAAATGGCTGCTTATTCAATTTGTATGAGAAAATGGGAAAAAATAATATTAAAATAAACTATGTTTACTGGGTATGACAGAATATCCCATAAACTAATGCTATCACAATAAAAATGCTGTAAAATAAATAAAAATCGTTATTTTAAACATAAACACTTTCATATAAAATATATTGTCAAATTTGAAACTAAGTTCAAACTTTTTTGTAAAATAGCCTCTAGGACAATAGTTGAGATAAGAGGGACTCAGAATACTGAATAAAGGAACATTACATAATTTGCATTAGTAACTTTTAAATCTTACTTTTTAATAAATTTTGGAATATCTTTTTTAGTTGTAAAAAAGATACTCTGTTAAGAGTTTGGATTCTATTTTGATCTTTAACAAGCCAAATTCTCTTATGCTTAAAATGTATGATGCTTAAAATGTAAATATCATTACTTGACACAGTAACTATAAACTACATGAATAAATTAAAGATTTGCTAAAAATTTCATTTACTAAAATCAGCCATTTTTCTGATTTTATCCTGACAAAAGAGTAAATTACACTTTGGGGTATATATATATATATATATATATATACACACACACACACACACACACACACATATATATATATACATATATTTTCTGTCAGTTTAATCCATTTTATTGACTTCTCAATTAACAACAAAATTCATTTGGAGAGTAAATTAGAAAATACTTTGTATGGTGGCTTTAAATTACATTTTGAAGCCAAAAATGTTATCCAGAGTCATTTCAGACAGCAAATGTATCCGAAGTACAAACAGTAAAACTTCACATTCCCTTCAGTAACTCTCCTTCCACTTAGAACACAACGAACTTAAGTAGGCAGAGTTCTTGTTCACTTAACCACAACCCCATTTTAGCACAGAACTGAAGCAGAAAGAATTGAAGAAGTGATTAGAAAGGATATGCATTATTAATAAACCATATGCTATCTGAGTGTTAGGTTCCCATGAAATATTTTACTGTATATTAAAAAAAAAAAAATCACTTCTCAAGGGCAGCTGTTTTCATTCAAGGACTGATTTCATCACTTACTTTCACTGTCTTTTATAGTGAAATGGTCCTTTTCAAGTTATTAATATGTATTGGAGTTGTTACCAGCACTGTTCTACACTTCCAGTTCAGAATATGAGTAGCAGTGTAATACTTAGTTTCAGTTATAAATTATGTATGTATAAAACAAAGAGTTGCCATTATTTATATATTGCAATAAATACACAAGAATGAATACACGTTATTTTTCATAAAATACAGTTTCTAATCAGTTTAGGAGATTTCCACACTATGAAGACATTAAATACTTAAAACACCAGGTAATCAATCCCCTCTGTTACAGAATGCCAGCCAAGTGAGATCTGAAAGAGATTCTTTATTGATAGCCAAATGCTGTTGACTATGCTTGCAATCTCTGTGTTTTCTTGCTATTTAAGAAAAAATACAGAACCTAGACATTTAAAACATTATCCATGTAATAATCACTACAGACTCTCACTGGATCTTTAAAAATTTTGTTAAAAATTGCCAAAGTCATGATGAACACAATTATTGCAGCTATTGAAAAAGCAATAAAAACTATGCTGCTAAAGACAAAAACACTGACATACATAAACATCACAATGTAACACAGCAGTAACTAATTGCTACTTCATATGAAAAATTAAATTTAAAAAGTTATGCTAGAGAACTTGGAAATTTTTCACTTTAGCAAAATGTTCTGTTTATATACCTCCAACTTCTATAATACAGTATACAATAAAATACTTTAAAAAGATATGACATTCAAATGCTTCATTTACACAAATAATATTGCCAATACTAATAAAAGTGATACCCTTAAACATGAACTGCTCTGCTAACTGTGATTTTAAAATGTTTTCTTTACTGGATTTTACATTTTAATTAGCAGTTAGTATTACATATTAATCAGTTCTGTGCTGACAAATAGAGAGATCCTAGTCAAAATACTGTTTCTCAAAAGTAATGTACATCATATTGCTTGAAACTAAACAACCATATAAAAAGTGGCAATCATTTATCTAAACATTGATTATGAAAGACAACTGGCATATATTCAAGCAGAGTGTGAGTTCATGATGGTTTATTTACAATAAAAGTACTTTTACTGAAACTAACATAAGTTTTTAGGTCAATTACTACAGTCTCTTAAAGTTATAAAAATATCATATAAAATACCACAGGCTTTAGAGGCTATAACTTCATGTGGTTCTGATACTAGCAGCTGAAAAGTGTTTATAATTTAAAAATAAATAAACTATAGAGGTAAACCAGTTACAAAACAGCAGAGGACTGAGATAGTCACAAGAGTGAAAGGAACTGCTTAATTACACAATAACTAACAAAATGGTGAAGCGGTTGGATCAAAAGTTTTAAAAACCTCTTTCAGAGATTTGTCATCTGTTTCTCTACCGGAATCATTATCTGGGGTGGGGCTCCCCTGTCCTGGCTGCCTTGCCTGCCTTGCATCACTGTACTGGGGCCTAATTAAGCCTGTTAATGCCTGAATAGGAAGGCTGTGCACTGCTGGGACCTGAACCTTACCAGAACTCCTGGGAACATCTGCCTGTGGGTCAGCTGGCCCGTCAAGAGGGACTTCCACATTTGGAGTTGTTTTCTGTGGCAGGATAGCTTCTCCAGGAGAAGACTCATTTTTGTCACTACTTTTTAAGCCACCACTTTTTTTCTGGTTCTTTGAGTTTTCTCCTAAAGAAACTGTTGCAAGCTCTGCTGTGGACGATGAACCATGATCCCTAGGGTCATACAAACTAATACCACTAAGAACTGAAGTTGGAGTTCCCAGTGGAAGGCCAGCTGAGGAAGAGAGTTTAGGGGCATATGGAGGCAGAGCCCCGGAACCAGAATTGCTAGTTCCTGCCCCTGAGGGCTGTGATGAACCAGGGTTTGATCTGGCTAAGTGAGGGGTACCCTTTGATGTATGTGAATCCTTCATAACTACTTGATGAGACTCTGTATTGGGCAGTCTGTGAAGCCTAGGATCAAAATTTTTTTGTAGCCTAGGATCTCCTAATTTACTTCCTGAACTGTGTGAGTCTCCAAATTGTTCTAGGTAGCCTTCTCTGTTTGTTGTATTAATTTTGGCTTTGGCTGCTAATTTTGGATCAGTGGACACTGTATTTTGATGAAGATCACTTTTTGTATTCCATAACCTATTTAGCCTCTGGTCAGCTATAAGTGGGGGCAGAGGTAAATTGATTGAAGACACTGGATCAGGTTTAGGTAAAGGTACTGGAAGTAAGTCTTCCGGAGCCCACACAATGTGTTTTGCAAAATTGGGTTTGGTTAGAATAATGTCCATCTTAATGTGACTGAACTGTCTCAATTGTGACCTTGGATCCTGGAGCATTATGCCAGGTGAGGCATCCAAAGGTATTAAGAAAGCTTTTTCTCTCAGTTCTCTCTCTGTATCTTCATCATCATCATCACCTTTTTTGTGTTTAACATTAGTGCCAGCATTTGCATGATGCACATCAAACTTTGCTCCACCAACAGAAGAGCCTACGTGACCACTTCCATTCCCTCTTAATTTCCTGGGATCCCACGCAAGCCTAAGATCCAGTGGGGCAGACTCAGAAGGCTTTCTGATGTCTTGCCTTGGGATAGTCCTAAGTCTAGGGTCAACCACTTGGTTTCCTTTACTTTTCTCTTTAGCAAGTCTTGGATCAGTAGGAGGACTGAGTTCTGTGGAAGGTTGTTGCTGATTTCTTAAAGTTTCTGTTTGTTTCTGTAATGTTTTCAGTATTGACTTGACACTGCTTCCTTCTTCCTCTTCACTACTGGAATACCAGTTAACTGTATCATCTAAATGTAGACAAAAACTTATTATAAAGAATGAAGCATTTATATGTAGCCTTAATTAATATTAAAAAACACATACTATTTCTGAGATAAGTATAGTCTAACTTCAATAAAATGCATAACAAAAATGACAGACTTCAATACTGCAACAAAATAAGATATGGTAAGAAAACTATCAATTCAGTCATTATACCCTGTAAAGGTATACTAGAATATGCGGGGTGATACTAGAATATGTGTAATGTCCTTCCAGTTAGAGAAAAGGCAGGACCTTTTCCTTCTAACTGGCTCAGATATGTGTGCTGTATGTGTGGTGGATTGTAGGAGAAGGGAAAATGCTCTCAGCATTCTGAAATGTCCTAGATCTCTTCAAATCAAGTATTCCTTAAGCTTCCTAGCTCTGAATTTATCAAGTTTTAGTTCACTGTTAAATGGACTAAAAGGAAAACAAAACACTTAAAGGAATGGTTAAGGTAGCCATCACTACCTTAAGAAACTGAGCAAATAAGGAATGGGGTAGAGACTTTTCATTTATTCTATATTATATGTTTAGATATTTGACCTGTGTGAATATATTAGCTATTCAAACATTAACTTTAAAAATAACAAAACACCCTAAAACTTATATACTTTATGAGAACACTTTTAGTCTTACTCTTAAAGCCTATTTAACTCTAGAGCGTTAGACACAAGTTTACGAAACCTAACTATCATATGTCTTTTCTCTAGCAGAAGGAATTACAAACTGATGTTTCAGAAGGGTGATTCTCCCTCCTCTCCATTAAAATATACACAAGTTGACTCTGAATTGGCCACAAGGTATCTACTGTTCACATTCTTGCCAGACCATAGAGTCTGAACATGGAATACAGATATGCAGATACACTGTATGTGCATATATGTATCTCCATCCTAAAGTGTCTTGGACCAGTAGACTATTCTAGATATTCTCATTTTTACCTTATCTCACTGCTCACTCATGCATGCCTACTACATGAAACTTTAGTGTTACAGGGTTAGTTTGAAAAAGGCAGTGCTTACAAAACAAGCATTGGTATTTAGGGTAGAATGTGGTTTAAAACAGCATATGGTATGTCGCAATTGCAAAGTTTTTCTGATCTCAGTATCAGAAAAAAAACTACTTCTAGGCTGGGCGTGGTGGCTCAAGCCTGTAATCCCAGCACTTTGGGAGGCTGAGGTGGGCAGATCACAAGGTCAAGAGATCAAGACCATCCTAGCCAACATGGTGAAACCCCATCTTCACTAAAAATACAAAAAATTAGCTGGGTGTGGTGGCGTGCACCTGTAGTCACAGCTACCTGGGAGGCTGAGGCAGGAGAATTACTCGAACCTGGAAGGCGGAGGTTGCAGTGAGCCGAGATCGCACCACTGCACTCCAGTCTGGTGCCTGGCGACAGAGCAAGACTCTGTCTCAAAAAACAAAAAAAAAACAAAAACAACAACAACAACAAAAAACTAGACACTAGATCTCTTTTCTTCTCTTTGACATCAAGGAAACCTACAGATGGATTTGTGATTCACTTTTACCTGCTGCACTTATTTTAAGTATTTCTGTGTAGTTCACTCCACATAGTTTGTGTTACTTCTATCCTTACTTTCTTTTCATTCCCACATCAATATATTTTAAAAGCATTATATATATATTATAATTTATAACATATGTTTAAAATAGTTCTCAAATGAGAGTGAATATAGTAATAGAGGGAGAGTAGAAGAATAGAGACAGGCCAGTGGAAAATAGATAAAATATGACAATTAGCAGCTTTTTATCAAAGCAGAGATAAAATGCATAAAAGCATTCAAATCCATAAAAATAAAACAAACAAGTAAACCTAGTTGTGCAAAATATTTCTGTATCAGGACCAACAACTCTCACAGAACATTTCCAATTATATATTATAGTATAAAATTTTATATTATCTAAAAGTTTTAATCTCCTTGTTTATGAACACATAAAACTGTAAGACATTACTGAACAATTACTATTAAATGATTGTTCTTTAACAATCATTTAAAATTGTTAAATTGTTTATAATTTAAATTATACAGGAAATTCACTTACTAGAAATCCTTCATTCTCCTGTGATGTTAGGTAAACAAAGAATTAATAATACCTTCTTTGAAAATGTAACAAAAAATGTTCATAAACATTGAAGCAAGAAACTGAAGAGGACACAGAAAATTGAAAAGATATTCCATGTTCATGGATTGGAAGAATCAATATTGTTAAAATGCCTATACTACCCAAAGCAATCTATAGATTCAATTCAATTCCAATCAAAATGCCTATGACGTTCTTCACAGATATTAAAAAACAATCCTAAAATTTATATGGAACCACAAAGGACTCAGAATAGCCAAGCCTATCCTGAGCAAAAAGAACAAAACTAGAGGAATCACATTATCTGATGTCAAATTATACTATAATTTGATGAGCTATAGTAAGTAAAACAGCATTGTACTGGCATAAAAACAGACACATAAGCTGGGCGTGGTGGCTCACACCTGTAATCCCAGCACTTTGGGAGGCTGACACAGGCAGATAACTTGAGGCCAACACAGGCAGATAACTTGAGGCCAGGCGTTTGAGACCAACCTGGCCGACATGGAAAAACCCTGTCTCTACTAAAAATACAAAAAAATCAGCTGGGCATGGTGGTGTGCACCTGTAGTCCCAAATACTCAGGAGGCACAGACTTGGGAGGCTGGAATTGCTCAAAACCAGGAGATGGAGGTAGTGGTGAACTGAGATTGTACCACTGCACTACAGTCTGTGCAACAGAGTGAGGCCTTGTCTCAAGAAAAAAACAAAACAAAAAAAACCCAAACTAACAACAACAAAAAAGACACATAGACCAATGGAACAGAACAGAGAACCCAGAAACAAACCCATACATCTACAGTGAACTGATTTTCGACAAAGGTGCCAAAAACATACACTGGGGAAAGAACAAACTCTTCAATAAATGGTGCTGGAAAAACTGGATATCCATATGCAGAAGAGTAAAACTACACCCCATCACGCCTGTAAATAAAATTTACAAGCCTATAAAATTTACAACCCTGTGAAATAAAGTTACTATCTGATCTAGCAGTCCCACTGCAAGGTATATACCCAAAAGAAAAAAAATCAGTATATCAAAGAGATATCTGTACTCTCCCATTTATTGCAGCACTATTCATAGTAGCCAAGATTTGGAAGCAACCTAAGTGTCCACCAGCAGACAATGGTCAAGTGCAGTGGCTCACACCTGTGATCCCAGCACTTTGGGATGCTGAGGTTGGCAGATCGCCTGAGGTCAGGAGTTTGAGATCAGCCTGGGCAACATAGTGAAACCCATCTCTACTAAAAATATAAAAATAGGCCAGGCATCTCTCAGCACTTTGGGAGGCCAAGGCGGTTGGATCATAAGGTCAGGAGATGGTGATCATCCTGGCCAACATAGCGAAACCTCGTCTCTGCTAAAAATACAAAAATTAGCTGGGCATGGTGGTGCATGCCTGTAATCCCAGCTACTCAGGCTGCTGAGGCAGGAGAATTATTTGCACCAGGGAGTTGGAGGTTGCAGTGATCCAAGATCAAGCCACTGCACTCCAGCCTGGTGACAAGGTGAGACTCCATCTCAAAAAAAAAAAAAAAAATATTAGCTTGGTGTGGTGGTGCACACTTGTAATCCCAGCTACTCGGGAGGCTGAGGCACAAGAATCACTTGAACCTGGGAGGTGGAGGCTGCAGTGAGCTGAGACTGCACCACTGAACTCCAACCTGGGCAATGTTAGAGACTCTTTTTTTTTTTTTTTGCAACCTTTGCCTCCTGGGTCCTGGTTCAAGCAATTCTCCTGCCTAAGCCACCCATGTAGCTGGGATTACAGGTGCATGCCACCATGCCCAGCTAATTTTTTTGTATTTTTGGTATAGACGGGGTTTTACCATGTTGGCCAGGCTGGTCTTGAACTCCTGACCTCGTGATCCAGCCGCCTCACCCTCCCAAAGTGCTGGGATTACAGGCATGGGCCACTGTGCCTAGCCAAGACTCCATCTTAAAACGAAACAAAACAAAAAAACAGACAATGGATAAAGAAAATGTGGCACATATACACAATGGAGTACTATTCAGCCATAAAAAGAATGAGATCCTGTTAATTTACAACAACAAGGAACTGGAGGTCATTATGTTAAGTGATATAAGCCAGGCACAGAAAGACAAACTTCTCATGTTCTCACTTATTTGGGGGAGCTAAAAATTAAAACAATTGAACTCATGGACATAGAGAGTAGAAGCACGGTTACTAGAGACTGGGAAGGGTAGCTGGCAGATAGGGAGGAAGTGGGGATGGTTAATGTGTACAAAAAGTTAAAAAGAATGAATAAGACCTAGTATTTGATAGCACAACATATAGTCAATAATAATTTAACTGTACATTAAAAAAAACTAAAAGGCTATAACTGGATTGTTTGTAACACAGAGGATAAATGCTTAAGGTGATGGATACTCTATTTACCCTGATGTGATTATTATGCATTGCATGCCTGTATCAAAATATTTCATGCACCCCATAAATATATGTACCCATAAAAAGTAATAATTAAAATATTATAAATATAGATTTTTAAATGTTCATATAATGGCTTGTAGTGTTATATAGTTTTACATAGTTTTTCACAAATGTCATGTTTAAGAGTGGCCAAACATCACTCATAAACAGAACTGGATGCTTTAAACTTTTCTCACCTATTACTGAATTAACTAACTGTTGTATACTTACCAATATCAAAAATAATAAGGTAAACTTAATTTCCATATAATCTTTTTATATTTAAAAATATTTCTTTCTATTATAGCAGGTCCTTAAGTATATAGCCTATGCTGCAAAAACGTCTCTAATAACTGAATCATTTTGAAATTGGGCTAGAATTTAAAATCCTCAAACTGAAAGGTGTCTTTTTCCTGTTCTATTTCTTTTCTTCTTCCTCTTCTTAAAAAAAAAAAAAAAAAAAAAAAAAAAGAGGCCGGGCACGGTGGCTCACACCTGTAATCCTAGCACTTTGGGAGGATGAGGTGGGTGGATCACCTGAGGTCAGGAGTTCAAGACCAGCCTGGCCATCATGGAGAAACCCCATCTTAAAAAAAAAAAAAAAAAATAGCAAAAGGCTTAATTGCTTGCAAGTCTGCACAACCTTAAACTCTAGCTTCAGATCTTTTCATTACTTCAAGTCATACCTTTTGCAATTAATTATTAACACAATTAATGACACTGAAGCCACAATCAATCACAAGAAGATAGTGGCTACAAGATAAATTGGAAATGCAAGAGAGAGCTCATTTTTAATTATTATTATTTTTTTTCAGAGTCTTGCTCTTTTGCCCTGGCTGGAGTGCACTGGTGCGATCTCAGCTCACTGCAACCTCCCCCTCCCAGGTTTAGGCAATTCTGCTGCCTCAGCCTCCTGAGTAGCTGGTACTACAGGCACATGCCAGCACAACTGGCTAATTTTTGTATTTTTAGTAGAGATGGGGTTTCACCATGTTGGACAGGCTGGTCTCAAACTCCTGAACTCAGGTAATCCATGCGCCTTGGTCATTTTTAAATTTTAACCCATCCAAATAGGTAAGATGCTATTAATAACTTATACCACACCTTCTTCCTTGCTTGGAGCCCTATGATGTTGGATGCTGGGTTGTTCTTCATCTTCTTGGTATCTCTGAGTAAGTCTGACAAAAAGAGCTCTTTGTACTGCAGGGAGGAGGCCTGGTACAGGCAGAGAGCCATGGCCTGTCCTGGTGCTGCTGCCATCAGACCCACTTCCATGATTAGGTGAGTCTTGAACAACAGGAGGCTGCTGCTGGGCAAATTCACCAGGCCATATCCCATCTACATGTACAACATGGGAAGAGACAGACATTGAGTGAGCATAAAACTCCACCAGTGTCATAAGAAATAAAAGCTTTCATAATAGGCACACTGGATTATCAAATTACGTCATTTTAAAGTATTTCTAAAAGTTATCTAAAGTCCTATTGTTCCAAAAGTTTGGCAAAGTGAAAACATTTTAACATTTCAGTCTTACCAATTTTACTTAGCATTACTTAAAACATACATTTCTATCATGCTTTTAAGGAAAAATAGGACTGTATTTTAAATTATGAATAAGTTATTTCAAAAAGTAAACTTACCACCAGAGTTATTGGGTGGCTGAAAATTATGTACAGAATGCTGTGCATAGTAATTATCATAAAACTCAGCTGGGTTTTGCAGGGATTCATAATTGGTGTTGAGCTGCATTTCACCAGGACTTTGCTGGTATGATGAACCTGGAGAACAGTGATTCTCTCTGGGTACTTTCATCACATGTCCTGGAAAGCCTGGTGAGTGGTAAGCCCCACCCATGCTTGGTGGTGTCAAAGTTGTGTCTGGTTGAGCAAGTACTCCAGCTTGATTCTGAGGGCCTACGATTTCAGGTGGACCAGGTGGTAAAGGTGGGCTCTGTGGCACCGGTAGACCAGGAGGTCCTGCACATGGGTGATGTCCAGGGGAGCCTGGGTGAATCACAGGACTACTGTGTCCCTGAGACATGTTAGGTCCAGGACCTGGACTTGACCCAGAACTATAGATATGCTGAGGGTGTGGGCTGCTTCCCTGAAATTGTGGTCCTGGTGGTGAGGCACTGTTATAAAACGCTGGTGGCCTGTAGACAAAAATAATATTTCTTAGTTCAAAGAAAAAGAGACGAGAATGTTAACACTTCTAAACAGATATTGGTTAAGTATTTTTTTATATCAGAATAGAATACTGTGTGAAGAAACAATTTGTTCCATAACGTCTATAGGTAGAAACATGAAATAGACCTCTTACTGTCCTTTTAGCCCACCTGCTTACTGTTAGCTGTTATAAAACTTACTTTTTTGAAAAATACAGAAAAGTACAAAGATAAGTAAGAATCACCCCTAATCCCACTACCCAGAGATAAAATTTTTCATTGGTTCTCTTCTACTAGTCCTTTTTTTAAGGCATATATAACCTTTTACAATAAAATTAGAACCTATTATATAAACATAAAACTTTTTATGACAATGTATAATTGGTTATTGTTGACATATAAAAAGACCTTCAGTTTTTGAATGTTGCTCTTCTTTCTTGACATCTTGCTAATTTAATTATTATTTCCAATAGTTTTGTCTGTTGATTCCTTTGGGTTGAGGGAAACTTCCCAAATAATGAGGCTGCCACTTCACTTCTAATCTTTATGTTTTCTCTTTCGCTTATTTCATTGACCAGGATACAATATGTAATATTAGCAAAATAGTGGACATATTTATCTTCTTGACATTAGTAGAAATACTTTTAATGGTTCAAATGAATTGTGGTATTTGCTACAAATTTCTTGCTTCTCATTGGCTGAGACCTCCTTGCTTTCCTGAGTTGTCAGGGCTAAACAAATACTCTACGATGTGACTTAGGGCCCAGATGCACAGACCCTAGGGGACAGGTGGGCTGGAATGGTGGTGTTAGAAAATGAAAATCTGGATCCAGAGGTCTTCCTCGAATAGCCGAAGGAATTGCTCTTCACAAAGAACCAAATATGTGGAGGCCTATTTCCCACAATCTGAAGGGCATTATCAATGACAGTGCAGCCTCATAATCGAGAATGTCAAATCCACCCACCAGGCAGGGTCCTTCAGGATTACTATGCTGAGAGGTTTCAGAATCCATATAAGGATTCCATATGGGAAAGCACTGACGGCAAGTAGCAGAGGGTGGGAATGGAAAACAAAGGGGGAAGCAGCCATCTGCATTGCATGCCCGATATGTACTATCTCTACCCAAGTTTAATTACATGATTAGCTTGTAATATGTCTTAATTTCTTAATGATAGTTTTCAGGAAAAAAATTTTGATGTCATTTTGAAAGTTTTCACTTACTTCCTCCCAATTTTATGTGCTAAATCCACAGTAGGTTTTACAACTATTTCAAAAAGAGATGGAATTTTCCTAAAATCATCAGAGAAATCTGTCTGAAAATCGTCTTCAGGATCAGAAAAGGGAAAATGCTCTGGAGGGGTTGGCAGAAGCCCAACCCCTGGAGGTGGTTTGGGAAGAGGAGTTATGCCACGCTTTCTAAGTTCCTCTAATTCTCTTTCATCTTCATTTATGAGTTCTTCATCAGTATTCAACACCTAAAAATAATTGGCAAAGATTACTATTTCAAAGCGAGCTCTTTTCCTCACATTTAAAACTAGGAAGACTTAAGTTTTATTAGTAGGAAAAATTACATTAAAGTTGAAATGGCCTGGTCACAGTGGCTCACACCTATAATCGCGACACTTTGGAAGGCTGAGGCAGGTGAACCGCTTGAGTTCAAGAGACCAGCCTGAGCAACATGGAGATACCTCTGTCTCTACCCAAAATGCAAACATTAACTGGGCACGGTAATGCCTGCCTCAGGAGATTGAGGTGGGAGGATGGCCCCGGAGCCAGGGTGGGATGCACAGGGCGGGGGGCGGAGGAGGGGGGGAGGGGGTGGTGGTGGCATGGAGCGGGGAAGGAAGAAAGCGGAGCAAAGATGCCCCAACAAAACTTAGCCGGCCAAAAAAAGGAAAACCCGCCAAAAAAAAAAAAAAAAAGAATAGAAAAAAAAAGGAGAGTGAAAGAAAGAAAAAGAGAAAGAAGAAAAAGCAAGCAAAAAAGAGACAGAGAAAGACAGAAAGAGAGAAAGAGAAAGAAAGAAAGAAAAAGTGAGAAAGAGAGAAAGAAAAAACAGTTGAAATCGTTTGGAGAAGCTAACTCTTCATTTTTTATAAACAGAATGAAGTTCAAAAAGGTAAAGAATATTGCTCTAATAGAATAAAATATAAAACAAACCTTCAATTTCTCAGCAGTTTCATAAAATGTGATTTATAAAATGTGATTCAAGTCAAATGTATTTGTGGAGAGATCTAATCAAGGTACAAAAATATTACTCACTTTGTCCAAAAGTTTCTTTGTTTCTTTAGTCAGATCATCATGGGAAAATTTACAGTTGTCCCCCTGGTAACATTTTGCTCCACTATGATAGAATTTGCATGGAAATTCATGTAAATGAAAATATTAAGGAAAACACCAAGTAAAATCAAGTTCTAATTTTTTTTAAACCAAAACCCACAACCGTTAGGCAAAATGGTTAACTTCTAGAGATCTGCTATATAACATTGTACCTCTAGTCAACAATACTGTATTGTATACTTAAAATTTAGTTAAGGTAGTAGAACTCAGGTTAAGTGCTCTTAATACACACACACACACACAACCATAATTCTGCTGAATTAATAAGGCTGTATTATAATACATAATACTGAATCTACTGTAATCACATCAGCTTATTTTTTATTCTATTAAGGTTAGATAATTATACAAAAACATTCAAACAGCTTTTTTCTCTATTAAAACTAAAAAACCACTTTTTTTTTTGAGACAGAGTCTAGCTCTGTCACCTAGGCTGGATTGCAGTGGCACAATCTGGGCTCACTGCAATCTCCGCTTCCCGGGTTCAAGTGATTCAGCCTCCCAAGTAGCTGGGATTACAGGCAGGGGCCACCATGCCTAATTTTTTTTGTATTTTTAGTAGAGATGGGGTTTCACCTTTTTGGTCAGGCTGATCTCAAACTCCTGACCTCAAATGATCCGCCCACCTTGGCCTCTCAAGGTGCTAGGATTACAGGCATGAGCCACGTCACCCGGCCTTGAAAGCTACTTTTTAATGGAAAAAACAAACAAACAAACAAAAAAAACCATTTATAACTACTATAGCAAACACTATTATATTTTAATTATATAAGCTCTGTTACTTTCCACAATGAAATAAAATAGTATGTAAATTTTGTAGCAAGAGCTTACATTTATAGGCCGGGCGTGGTGGCTCACGCCTGTAATCCAAGCACTTTGGAGGCCAAGGCGGGCGAAATCACCTGAGGTCGGGAGTTCAAGACCAGCCTGACCAACATAGTGAAACCCTGTCTTAAAAAAGAAAAAAAAAAAAAAAACTGCCGGGCGCAGTAGCTCAAGCCTGTAATCCCAGCACTTTGGGAGGCCGAGGCGGGTGGATCACGAGGTCAAGAGATCGAGACCATCCTGGTCAACATGGTGAAACCCTGTCTCTACTAAAAATACAAAAAATTAGCTGGGCATGGTGGCACGTGCCTGTAATCCCAGCTACTCAGGAGGCTGAGGCAGGAGAATTACCTGAACCCAGGAGGCGGAGGTTGCGGTGAGCCGAGATCGTGCCACTGCACTCCAGCCTGGGTAACAAGAGTGAAACTCCGTCTCAAAAAAAAAAAAAAAGACTTATATTTACAAAGAAAATTAAGAGGCTTAATATGTTATGTTAAAGGCAAATATTCCAGTAATAAACTACAGACTAATCTTAAGATTTTGGAGAAAAAGTTGTAAAGAAAATACTAAATCTAGAAGTATAGTGAAAAATATACCACTCTCAGGTGGTTTGTGTTCAGGGAACAGCCGAATGTGTTTAGGAAATTTATTACTGTAAACACTGATGAGGTCAAAAAAAATCCTATGATCATTTTGGCAGATGCAAAAGGAAAACGATAAAATTCAAAATTCTTTTTAGATTTAAAATCCTCTTAGTAAAAGTATACTTTGATTGTTAAAAACCTACTTTAAACCTGCAGCCACAAGCTAAAACAAAAAGGCATTATCATTAAAACATGTTTATGTCTGCCACAATCGCTACTATTTAGTATTTCTGAAAATGTAGCCAATACAATTAAAATTAAAGGTATAAATATTGTAAACGAAGTAAAATTATTATTTACAAACAGCATGACTATGTAACAAAAACTCCGTTAAGAATAGACTGAAAGCTTTCGGATACAGAATTCAATAAAGTATTTGTCTTCTAAAGAAATATGTCAAATCCAAAAAAAATTATTTTTCTTGAATAGGACAAATTTATTACAACATCTTGTTTTTATTTTTATTTGCCAAATCACTTCTCACCTGAGAATATTACAACATTTTTTATAAAGAAGGAAGGCATATATGCCTTACCAAATATCAAACATATTCTTACAGAGGGGAATAATCAAATAACACAATAGATAATAGTAGTATGGAAGCAGAACTGTGTAAAAATGAGAATTTAGGGTCTGGAAAAAATGCAATTTTAAATCAGTAAAGATGAGACAATGAGTTAATCATCTGGAAAAAAAATTAGGTCCCTATAACACATAGTATATTAAAATACAGTCCATATGAATTAATGTAAATGTTAAATTTAAAAGTACAATATTCACAATCATTATAGATTTATGTAAAAAATTATGTGTATAAACATATACATATCCATTCATACATACATACCATAGCATAGAAAAAGTCTGAAAGGCTTTATGCCATACCGTAAACATGGTTATCTCTATAGGATGACATTACGTAGGATTGTTTTTCAAGTTTGTTTGAAGGTTATTCACCATACCAAAGCAGAGAGAATAATAAAATGAACTCCCTCTCATGCTGACCTCATAGGTTCAACAACTTTCATCATTTGCTGTAAATATTTCCATACCTATTTTGAACAGATAAGGGATACTGTTTCTTTCCTTTTTTTTGTTTTGTTTTTGAGATGGAGTCTTGCTCTGTCCCCCAGGCTGGAGTGCAGTGGCACCATCTTAGCTCACTGCAACCTCCATCTCCCAGGTTCAAGTGATTCTCCTGCCTCAGCCTCCCAAGTAGCTGGGATTACAGGCACACACCACCACACCCAGCTTATTTTTGTATTTTTAGTAGAGATGGGGTTTCACCATGTTGGCCAGGCAGGTCTCAAACTCCTGACCTCAGGTGATCCACCCGCCTTGGCCTCCCAAAGTGCTGGGATTACAGGCATGAGTCACTGTAGCTGAACCCTTTCCTCTTAAAATTAGTTTTTACAGAGATGGGGGTGGGAGGGGTGTCTCACTATATTACCCAGTATGGTCTCGAAATCCTGGCCTCAAGCAATCCTCTCACTTCGGCGTCCCAGTGTTAGGATTACAAATGTGAGCTGCCATGTCTGGCCAGGAATACTTTTTCTTACCAATCACGACTTCATTATCAACCTGACAAAATTAATGTGTTAATTTCAACTAGTACCCAGTCAATATACAAATTTTCCAGACTTTTAAAAAACGTTTTTATAATTCCTTTATTCAGATCAGGACACAAAGATGATTCACAAATTGAAACTAATTAATATACCTCTCAAGTTACTTTTATTGATCTGGAGAAGTTCCCCTTTCCCTTTTATTTTTGTATTATTTGTTAATTTTAATATTTTAATTTTAATTGTTAATTTTTATAGATGGTATTTGAATACTCTCTACTGTATCATAACAAAAGGCATTTAGGCCGGGCGCGGTGGCTCAAGCCTGTAATCCCAGCACTTTGGGAGGCCGAGGCGGGTGGATCATGAGGTCAAGAGATCGAGGCCATCCTGGTCAACACAGTGAAACCCCATCTCTACTAAAAATACAAAAAACATTAGCTGGGCATGGTGGCGCGTGCCTGTAATCCCAGCTACTCAGGAGGTTGAGGCAGGAGAATTGCCTGAACCCAGGAGGCGGAGGTTGCGGTGAGCCGAGGTCGCGCCATTGCACTCCAGCCTGGGTAACAAGAGCGAAACTCCGTCTCAAAAAAAAAAAAAAAAGGCATTTAATATCTGGTTGTTTCTTTTTAGTGATGTTAAGACTGATCAGTTCTTTCAGATGTTGTCAACTTCATCCATCAATTGTAAAATTACTAATTAATTTTTCACCTCATGATTTTAGAAGCCATCAGTAATCACTGCCCAGGTCTATTGGTAAGAATTGGCAAAACATGAGATTGCTGGGTTAAAGGGTAAATGCATGTGTAATTTTGCCAGATACTGCCAAGCTCTCCTCCACAGAAATGCACCATTTTGACATTGCCAGCAACAAGGTATGAATGTATCTATTTTCTCACATCCTTACTAACAAACTTTGCTGTCATGGTTTTTTTTATTTTTGCAAACCTGACACAGCTGCAAATGTTATCTCAATGTAACTTAAATTACATTCACTTATTAGGAATATTGAACATCTTTCTATATGTTTTGGGACTATCTACATTTCCCTTTCCGGAATTATCTGTATCTCTTGCCTCATTTTTCTTCTCAATGTTTAGAAACTAATATATTAAGGGTATTACCTCTTCCTAAGTGATATAAATTACACATAATCTTTCCCGCTTTATTATCTTTTTGTTTAGCTCATGTTATATGTATTTGTTCTGCAACTGTAAGCTTTTTCATGGAGTCAAAATTTCAAACTATTTCCTTTTTCCCTCTGGATTTTGAGACACAGGAAATTTTTCTGTTCTCCTGAGTTATAAAGGAATTCATCATGTATTCCTCTGGTAATTGCATAGTTCAATTTTCTAACATTTAGATCTGTGATAACAGGCATTTTTCATTTTCCATTTTATTCACTTTCTTTTTTTCACATTTTTTGAACATGCCATCAGAATTTAAAAAATCTATCTGGAAAAATAAACGTGAAAATCTACCAAATATCACAGTGTGCTGTTGTGGCAGAAATAATCACAGCAAAGCAACACTGACATGAGGGTGAACAAATCTATGGAGCCAAACACGAAGTCCAGAAAAAAATCCATATATATAAACATTTTGTTTCTGATAGTTTCAATTCCATGGGGGAAAACTTCATTAGTAATAAGTGGTAGTGAGGAACCTGATAGATATTTGAGGGGAAATTAACATGAAAAATTGCAGAATACATTTTTTTAAAAAAGGACAGAACACTATATATAGTGAAATTCCAATTTGGGTAGGAGCAGGAACACTATTCAAATGCATGTATTTCCCAAGGGAGAGTGGAGAAGAATATACAGCATTTGTCATTGAGTGGAAGATTTGATAAGACTTTTATAATTTTCACAATGATAATTTATTATTCATGAACTTAAGTAAAATAATTACGGAATAAGTATTTTGCCAACTACTCCTTCAGGAAGCACATTCTCTTGAAATACTTTAAGCTGATTATATGAAATATAAAGTACCTTCACTTCACAGAATTTTTTCCAAAGGGCAGTTATCTCATTTCCCCAAAGAATAAAAGTCAGTTTGCTCTTTTGAAGTACAAATTCTGACTAGACTGGGTTTGTGTAATGTGTTAAGTTTAAAACCAGGCTAGGTTTTCCAGGGTGTATTTATTATTTTTTAAAACCTGAATGATGCTTTAAAATCCCCACATTTTGTTTAACATAGATTTTAAATAAAGGATATTATGCATATAAATGCAGTTCTCTCCTTTGGTACAATATCCTTGTAAATAAAATTTGCAGATCTCTTTTCTTTTCTCCAACTCTGCATCATGATCAAATTTACACTGATCTCCCTATTCATAAAAAGAAAAAAAAGAGAAAGAAAAAAGATAAGAAACAAAGAGAAACAAAGAAACAACAACTGAATTTTCTCCATGGTGTCTCATGGTAAAATTATGATCATTACCTGCAGTCTTTAATAATGAACAAATAATAACTCAAATGAGCCCTTAGAATTCCTGCCCAAGACAGTGGATGTAGCTATGTGCACTGAGACAGCACAGTGAGCCAGACCTCAGAGGATACTGTCTGAATTCAACCAGCACTCACCATTTCCAGTTGAGCTACCATGGGTACTTACTTAAGCTCTTAGTGCCATGAAAAAAATGGAGATAATAACATTAACTACTTTGTAGGTCACTGTAAGATTAAATCATTTAATATTAGTTGTACTTTCAACAGTACTTGCCACATAGCATTATGTGTCTTTTAAATAAAATCTGATTTCAACAAATTATGTTACTGTCCCAGAACATAATTAAATGAGCTTTAATGTACAGTATTTCCATACAAGATACATTTTAAAGACCCAGTTTTATTACAACCACATTGAGAGGAGAAAAAAACTAGCCATCCCCCAAAAGACTTTAATTTTACAGATTATTTTGGAAGTTAAAATGATTTATGATACCCCTATAAATTTACCTTAATACATCTCCCTTCCAGGAAGTATTTACAGATCTGTTTTCCTTTGTGTTCCACTGTGTGCTGATTAATAAATTCCTGAGTCATAACCTTCCATTTTTTCCCTGGTTTACTATACTGCAAGAAAAAAATTTCATTTGAATGCAAAATATGAAATATTAATAGGTTTTAAAATGTATAATTAAGTTGATCTGGAAAAAGTACATATTGACTATAAAAAGTGATCAAGATTAAACATTCTGATGCTATTCATTTATTTGGAGAGAGATATGCATCTGGTAATCTACTTATACTACCAGTGGTTGCAAAAAAGCCTATTTCTTTCTATTTTAATGCAGATACATAATTATTTTAAAATAAAATTATAAAAAAGGTTGAAAATGCACAATAATTCTCAATTTGGGCAAAGGTACAATAAAATATGCACTCATATATTATTGATAGGCATGTTATAAAAGACTTTAAAATATTCATATTGTTTGACACACAATTTTGTATTTTTCCGGATTATTCTGAAAGAATTATCAGGGAGACACACTAAGATTTATTCTTACAATCAATTACTGCAGAAATACTGACACAGTAAAACAAACAGCAAAACTAGAAACACTCTACACACATCTAAAACTAGAAGACTCATCAAAAACATTTTGGTGGTAGAATATTATGCAATCATTAAAAAATCAACAACTTTGAATCATAAAAAATGTTTACAAGTCAGGCATGGTGGCTCACGTCTGTAATCCCAATACTTTGGGATCACTTGAAGCCCGGAATCTGAGATCAGCCTGGCCAACATAGTGAAACCCTGTCTCCACTGAAAATACAAAAAATTAGCTGGGCATGGTGGCACATGCCTCTGTAATCCTGGCAACTCAGGAGACTGAGGCTGCGGTGAGCTGAGATCACACCACTACACTCTAGCCTGGGCGACAGAGTGAGACTGTCTAAAAAAAAAGTTTACAATATTTTATGAAGTAAAAAGTTGATCCCAATCCTACAATAATAGAGGCAAAAAAATGACAAAAAGAATATACCCCCATATTTTACAGTGTACGTCTCTGTATGGCGGGATTAGAGATTTTATGTGCGTATGGTTGTTTTGTACTTTCTTTAGAGGGAAAAAAAAGGGCAAATAAACAGGGAGCATGTATTACCTTTAACTTTTAAATTTTAAAAGTTAAGAAAAGAATTAAGAAAATTTAAGGAAAAGAAATCTCATAGCCCTACTTGTTTTCCTTACTTCTTCTGAGTCCCCTACTCAACTTCTGCTTTAAGTATAAGATTGAGTAACAAGACAGTATGAGGCTTAGCCATGCTAAATGAAATGAGTTATATTCATCAACTCTAAAAAAATCAACATCATTTTTCAAGCACCTGGCATGCATTGTGCCCTATACAACATGGGAGTTCAATGACTATTTACTCTTCTGATTTATTTTCCCTTTTCTCTTAATTTGCTAAAAGATGGAGCATAAAGTTCAATGAAAACAGGAACTTGCCTCACAGCAAATATTGAGGCAATAGATGTCTACATTGAAATCTGATCCTCAGCACTCACAGCTAAAACCACATTTTACTGTAAGAATTCTGAAAAAGGTACAAGAATACCAAGTAAACAGATAATCCTAGATGTTCATTAAAAAATATAATATGCCTAATTTACCCCAGGAAAACACAATGAAATTAGTTATAATATACTCTGATAGAATTATTTAAAGTGTCTCAAATCTATACAAATTTGATTCACAAACATTTTTTATGTTTACAGATTTGTTTAGAATAAGCGGATATAATGACCAGCTCACATAGGCGTTCTGTACAAGGAATCGTGGCTGTTACAAAATAAAATAAAACAGCCAAAGAGAGTGCATTATGCAAAATCAATGAGCCAACCTGACGAATATAATTCTGAAATTAATAAGTAAAAGAGTTAGGTAATCACACACCCCCCCCCGCTGAAAAATGCAAGTTGTACTTGTGTTTTATTAATAACTTAATCTTTCTGTATACATTACTTTCAAATAATGTTTCACTGTTTTAATAGAGAATTGTAGGGGGGGAGGTATTTAATAGAGGATTGCAGGGGGAGAGGTGTTTTGTTTTTTAGTTTAGTTTCATTTAAATGAGTACAAAGTATCACAGTGTCCACAGCTATGGGAAACCTGACTATAATCAAGGTACTATAGAAAATCTAAAGCACTTTTAACAAATAAATTTTTAGGGCAAAATTAGTGCCTAGAAGATAAACCTTTTAAGTTTGAGCCTAAAGAAGACTCACAAATGTTTTCTACCCATAAAATCTCTAGTAATATAGGAGCTAGAAGAACCATGGAAGTAATGTAGTTCATCATCCTCATTGGACAAACATGAAAATGAATGATTAGAGAAGACAGTGCCTTGCCAAAGGTCACATGGTGAGCTGCCAGACTGACAGAACCCAGGAACTGTGACTTGCAACTCTATATTCTTTTCATTACAAGGATGGAGGGAGAAAAAACCAAGCTACCCTTCTGTACTTGCTTGTTTTAAAATTTACTTTAGAAGATATATTGATAGAGGCAAGGGCATAATATATTAATATATGTATCAGGTAGAGGAAACGTAAGGATCTACCAGGAAAAGAGTATTTATTACAAAAACTGTAATAGGTAAACACTAAAATAATTTAAGAGTATTATGGCCAATAAAATGAAGTAGCCTTTAAAATTCAGTGAAAGTTTGCTTCCTTCTGTGACAACTCTTGATTTTTCAAAAAAAATTATGATGAATCTGAAGGTACTCCTGAACTGATTTGGCTTTGGAGACTCTCATAGTCTCTGAAAGGCCTAGGATGGAGATGGATCTATGTTGGCCACTCTGGCCTGCATGTTCACGCTATTCTGGATGGGCCACCTACAGACTATTCCTGAACATCAACTGCTTCCTTGGACTCTGGTGCACTCCTAGTTGCTTCTGGAATCGTAAGAAATGTCTCTCATGATAGCCAATAAACTGACATGATTAATAATGTATTTTTATCTCAATTTTTCTGTTACATGGTTATCTTTTAGGTATAGCCCAGGTCTACAGACATCTAAATGTTGTACTTGAAGGGACCCTTAATACTATGCCTTCATTTTGCAGATTAAGCAAACTGAGGCCCAGAGACAGGTATGACTTGCTGAAAGTCACACTTTCCTGGAAGCTAATTTTTTGAAGGTATAGGATATAAGAACTGGGTATAGGAGCAGGCCTACTTAGAAAGCATTTGTACTAGTCTGGGTTACGAAAATCAGCATATTCTAAAGGTCTACATCTAAGAAGATGACAGGGTAGGTTTTTAGTCACCCCAAAATTCTAAAATAGTAACTATAATAATTCCAAAGCTGTTGTTCCATGGAACAGTGAGTGGCTCAGTGAATGTCAGTAGGTGTGTAGGGAAAAAATAGTTTGTGGTTGAGTCAATGATGGGATAAACAAAGTAAAATAGGCTTCTTTTTGCCTAAGCTGTTTAGAAGCTTTACTACATTAATGTTAACAGAGAATCTCCAAAAGCAGATGGCATATGCTGGGTTTTGCAAATTTATTTGGGCCTAACTTCTTTAAGTCACACCTGTTAACATCTCCTTAAACAGCATACTAAGGAGTGCATATTAAGAAATCTCTGCCCATTATCTTTAAACTGAGAGATCAGAAAACCACGTCTTTTCAAATTATAGTATGCAGCTTAGCTATATACTTAGCTCTCACTCAAAGTTGCAGCTTTATTTTTATTATTATTATTTTTTGAGATGGAATCTCACTCTGTCACCCAGGCTGGAGTATAGTGGAGCCATATCTCGGCTCACTGCAACCTCCGCCTACTGGGTTCAAGCGATTCTTCTGCCTCAGCCTCTGAAGTACCTGGAACTACAGACATGCACCACCATGCCGGGCAAATTTTTGTATTTTTGTAGAGACGTGGTTTCTCCATGTTGGCTAGGCTGGTCTTGAACTCCTGACCTCAAGTGATCTGCCCAACTCGGCCTCCCAAAGTGCTGGGATTACAGGCATTAGCCACTGCATCTGGCCAAAGCTGCAGCATTTAATGACAAACCTTTGCCTCTATAATTCAATCAAATCTTACTGAAACAGCAGTAGAATACAGGAATTGGATCTCTGTAATTTAGGGAGTCGCCACAAGGTTAAAATGTTCGTGTTCGGCGTTCAATTCAATTTAACATAAATTTATTGAATATCTACCACATGTAATATATATAAGTTCGCCTTTCCAACCACTTATATCCCCCTTTCTTCTCTTTAATGCTTTCAACTCTAACAAGCAAGTTAATTTACCACTGCCTCCCTTTTTGTCCCCGCTACTTATTGAGCTATTAACATTTTATTGCCAATTGCATCTGGGGAAGATGACTCTTAGAAAAGAAAAGCACAAAAGAAGACTAATAGAGGATATATTTTTACTTTCAAACTTATCAACTTTATTTTGAGGTTCTTTCAAACACATCAATTTTATTTCAAAGTCACCTAAATTTGTACTTCTATACTAGTATCACAACTAATAAACAACTATTTTTTGGAGGTTACAGATGCCTCATTTTATCTGAGCTGGTAATTTTTCATTTACTAGTAATGAATGATTAAAATCACAATGCTTTGCCACCAAATCAATTAAAAGATGAAAAAGCTTCTCCTTCCTTATATCTAAATTCTCAGTACCTCTTGAAAGTCATCCGATACTGAAAAAACATTAGGCCCTTTATTGGTTCTTCCCCCACGGTCTTTTCGTTTGATTTTCTTCGGCAAGCCACGTCCACGACCAACATTAAAACTTTTAACCCTCTGTTCAATACCTAGAAAAGTTAAAACGTACTTAAATTTAAAAGAAAAACAGCATACCTGTCAATTTATTAGTTTATAAGGAACAGCATATTTTAATAGTCTATAAGATACAGTGCATTCTTTTTTTTCCTTCTAGATTCAATGAAAACAAATTAAATCTTAATACATCTCCTTGGTACTGTTTCTTAAGGGACGTTAGCAACATAGGAAGGCAAGGAACCAGGATCCACATGGCTAAAGAAGCAAAATCAGGTTTTATTCTTTTTAATTTTCCTTATCATAAGATCATTAACAAGACTTTTTATTTTTAAGAGAATCAAATATTATATTCCTATTTAAGGAAGACACTGTAGATATCAGTGGTTAATTAATAGCAAATCAAATTTCCACTGATAATTTTGAGTAGATATATACACAAATATCTCCAGGAAAAATTATACTTTTTTTTTATTTTGAAAAACTTGGCATTTAAAAGTATGTAAAAAGATACCCAAATTACAAAAATCATGTTTTTCTTTTTAGAGACAGGGTCTCACTCTATCACCCAGGCTGGAGTACAGTGATGAGATCATAGCTCGCTGTAACCTCAAACTCCTGGCTGGGCTGAAGCAATCCTCCCTCCTCAGCTTCCTGAGTAGCTGGGACTTTAGATGTGAACAACTTGGCCTGGCCAATACTCAGTTCTTTAAGAGGACAAACAAGTAGCGGCTTGAAAAGAAAAGCCCCAGGTGGGAAAGGATGAGCAAGACTTCTCTACATTACCCTTATTCTCCAAGTGGGATGATCCCTGATACCACAACATCTAGACTACAGGAGCAAACTTGCTCAGTGCAACAACATATGTGTAGAAAAATTCCTTTCCCTTTACTTCAGCTAAAGCCTACGTTAATATTTTTCAGACATTTTGCTAGAAAATCAAGAAAAAAATAAAGTCATAGAAATAACCAAATTTACTCATAACTGATTCCTGTATGCAACGATAATTAAAAGGTAGTTTCATAGAGTGTGGCTCCTCACTACTTCATTTCAGTCTCATATTGCTCCACTTTTCCTGAAGCAGACATACTGACTAGCCAATAGTTAAGGCTGATTTGAGCCTTACATGACCCATAGTTTCTTCACTTATTGTCAACAGCTAGCAACTTGTCCTGGTCTCTCCAAGGACCATTTAACTCAATACTGCAGACAAACAGGTAATCAGTGTAAAAATGTCTTTAGATTATGTTTCTATCTCCAACTTCAAAGGATGTTAATAGTCCATGCACATGTGCTTAGCAAAAATGACTGTTGTATTTTAAAGCCTAATAAAAGAATAGCTTCCCAGAATTCTCTTCTTACTGCTCTAAATTTAAAGCAATACATACAGTGGCCAAGACAACTGTATACTGATGTCATACAGAAGCAAGGGGAAAAACATAAACAAGTTGTATTAAATTTTTATGTATTTTTAAATTATTAGAATGTCTTTCCAACTAAAATATTCATATATCATACAGATTGAAATATTTGTAGATTTTGTTCTCAAGGTCTACAAAATAAAAGAAAATGAATTTAGGTTCTACAAGAATAAGCTAATCTTGAGAGGGGATAAGAAGTTTCTAAGTATTTACTCCATAGCTTCCTGTTTTAATAAGGTTCTCATATTCTAAGACAGGCTGTAATTTCAAACTTACCTTGCTGAACTCCTTTCATTCTCTGTTTTTTCCCTGATTCTTTAGAAAATGATGACCCTAAAGCAGTATTTGAGGCTTCTTTAGCTTGTCTGTACTGTTTCAGCTGACTGGCAAAATCTTCCTCTGTTTCCTGACCGTAGTTACCAAAGTTGTCATCACTGTAGTTACCGAAGTTGTCATCACTGTAGGTAGTACTGTACTCATCATATTCTTTACTTTTAAATTTTTTGTTATGTTGACCCTTCTTTGATGTCATGTAGCTTCCTGATATATGTCCACGCTAAGTGAAAATGGACAATCATTATCAGGATTTTTCAATTATATATAGCAATTAACAGTAGCACAGGACATCCTTTTCTCCTTCAACAAGTTTGGAGAAAGAAGGAGAAAAGATAGTTATTAGTTCTGACTTGATTAGTACTTACCTATGTTACTACTTAATACTAAGTTCAAAAGCCTAAATGTTACCCTGAAATAATTAAATCTTGTAATCTTTATGCTTTAGCCTTTGTTTTCTATGTTCTGTATCTCAATATCTTACACACAGAAAAAAGTAAAAAATATATACCATCATACATAAATTCTTCCTCCAGAAAATGAAAGGCCTTTTGAAAATAAAGAAAAGATAGAAATAGCTTGGAGTCAGGGAGTGTGGAAAAACATGTGATTTCTCCTAACCCTGGAAAATTCTCAAATAACATTATATTTAATAAAAAACTGAACATGTGGAAAATTTTGTAAAAAGAAACTGTGTATATCGCTTTCCCTAATAGTGAAAGACATCTAGTGAATAAATTGCTCATTAGAAACTGTTTATTACAATAAACATTTTTAATTTTATTGCTTCCTTATTAAAGCATATGAAAGCAAAGAATACACTTTAGTATTAGAAGTTTATTTAATGACAGTATTCAGATTTGTCTGTATTCACTGAAGTATTTTCATTAGTTCTACAGTATCCTCTGAAATTTTTTATAATAAAGGATGAAAATTTGCACATAATTACAACTTAAGGATCTAGAAAAATCCAAACCATAATTCATCTTTAGCTTAGTGCATTGTTTTTTTAAGAGGGAGTCTCGCTCTGTTGCCCAGGCTGGAGTGCAATGGCACAATCTTAGCTTACCACAACCTCTGTTTCCCAGATTCAAACGATTCTCCTGCCTCAGCCTCCTGAGTAACTTGGACTAGAGGCACGCGCCACCACGCCCAGCTAATTTTTGTATTTTTAGTAGAGATGGGTTTCACTATGTTGGCCAGGCTGGTCTGGAACTCCTGACCTCGTGATCTGACCACCTCAGTCTCCCAAAGTGCTGGGATTACAGGAATGAGCCATAGCACCTGGCCAGCTTAGTGCCTTTTAAATGTGATATGAAAATGCTGTTCTGGCCAGGCACGGTGGCTCACGCCTGTAATCCCACCACTTTGGGAGGCCAAGGAAGGTGGATTACTTGAGGTCAGGAGTTTGAGAAGAGCCTGGCCAACACCCTGTCTCTACCAAAAAATACAAAAACTAGTTGAATGTGGTAGTGTGCGCCTGAGTCCCAGCTACTCAGCAGGCTGAGGGAGGAAAACTGCTTGAATTTAGGAGGCAAAAGGAGGTTGCAGTGAGCCAAAATTGCACCACTGCACTCTAGCCTGGATGACAGACTGAGACTCTGTCTCAAAATATATAAATAAAATACTACTCAGGCAAAATACCACTATGAGACTATGTATTTAATTAAATGCAGCAAAGTATTAGATCTTTCTAATTATAAAATTGAGAAAAAGTACATAACTAATCAAGAAAACCAATTTATTTATCAATTTTAAATTTTAAAAACACTGTATTATATTTTTTATTTGTTTTAAGTACTACCTTTTAAAAGTTTATAAACTCCGTCCTTAGTCTAGCACTTCAGAAGTTCAGAAGTGAATTTACAATTCTAGCCAAAACACAGTGTTTCTGACATTTTTTTAAAGCCACTATGAAAACTAAAGCAAAAAATAATTGCGTAGATTAGTTGAAGATTAACTAAATGATGCTTACATTTTCTTTTATTAAAACTGTGGTTATATTGATACTTGATACATTTCAATGCTTTATGATTGAAGACTACTCTGTTAATAGATGAGTATAAATTTTTCTCTGGAGATTAGATGCTTCTTATAGAAGTTTTAAATGCTGGCTGGGCACAGTGGCTCACGCCTGTAATCCCAGCACTTTGGGAGATCACCTGAGGTCAGGAGATCCAGACCAGGCTGACCAACATGGAGAAACCCCATCTCTACTAAAACTACAAAAAAATTAGCCAGGTGTAGTGATGCATGTGTGTAATCCCAGCTACTCAGGAGGCTGAGGCAGGAGAATCGCTTGAACCTCGGAGGTGGAGGTTGTGGTGAGCCGAGATTGGGCCATTGCACTCCAGCATGGGCAACAAGAGCAAAACTCCAGCTCAAAGAAAAAAAAAAAAGGAAGTTTTAAATTCTTACTATTAATTCAGTTCTCTGATTTGCATGGGTTTATAAAAATAATCTGTGTTCCTACTTTTTTAAGTAGAATTATACCTAAACTTTCATTTACCTCCTCCCTAGTTTCCCAACTGTAAATATTCTTAATATCCTCCTAAGGATGCACATTCTAGCCCAGGGCTGCTTCTGTGGTTAAAGACTTCTAATGTGGACTGCTAAGGTCTTTCACATTTGAGTCAGAGTGCCACCCATGTGGTACGAGTTTTCCAGGAAGCATGAAATGAATAAAGGGTTACAGAGCAGCCCCACTTTTCTAGAATATCTCCTTATGGTTCACATACTCATCACTGGGATGAACAAAATGCACTCAGGCGCAAGAGTCTAGCAAGCATTTTTTCAAGCCCAACCAAGAGAAGATACATGAAAAAGAGAATAAATTTCACCAAAATAGATAGCTTTTCTTTTTTTGAGAATAGATAGCTTTTCTAATCACTTTACCAACTGATTATTAGGCTACACAAACTGCTAGAATGTGACAGATCTAGTTTCTGTAAAACAAAAATGGGCCTCCAGCAATCACTGAAAACAAATAAAGAAATAGGAGGCCCTGAAAAAAGATGAGGAAAAAGGTAGCTACATATTAAGCCCTCTAATTTAACTGCTAGATGTTAACAGTGTATTCTATTTTTGCCCTGCAACTGTAGAAGTTATATAGCAGATACCTGTTATCTAAGAAAATGAGACTTTTAGATGTTGTTAGGTTATAATCTAATTCTCAGTGAGTCAACTCTAAAATATATATATGGAAGAAATGGTATTGAACTTTCTCTTCTTATAATAGCAGACTGGGTAATTCAGACTAATTGTCCCGCTTAAAAAAGTAGAAAAGATAGACAAAATATTTTCTTAAATCTGTTTGTAGACATCAGACAGCTAACAAATTAGTGAAGGATTACTAGACCAATACCCATGGAGTAGACGAAAATCCTAAGAAGTGCGCAACATTTGGAGCTGCATTTGCTCCAAGAGTATAACCCCATCAGGAACAATCAGCCGAAAGATCCAACAGCACTTTTGACTGTCTCTGTTGTCTATGTAAACAAAAGGTGGGGTTCAGAGTCTGGAAAAGGTGGAAGCTTAGTAATCCCCATCCTCAATTATAAGGGGATCTCAAAATGTGAATCAGAGACTGCAGCCCAGGCTTCAGGAATCTGGGTAGCCCAGAAGTCTCAAATCCTGAAATTAGAATAAAGTTTGTAAGGGTAACCAGAAATCTGGCAGAAGTAAAAACCTTTTTTGAGTGAAAAAAACATCATCCGAGGCCTAAAAATATTTCTACAAAATGCACTATATTTTGCAAATACAATGCTCAGCACAGAATAGAAAAAACTGAAAACAAAAATAGGCCTAAGAAGAGATTAGATCACACGAAAGAGAACCAGCAAAAAATAACAGGCAATAGAAATACAGACTTCAAAAGCCCACGCATGGTGGTTCAAGCCTATAATCTCAGCACTTTGGGAGGCTGAGGTAGGTGGATCACCTGAGGTCAGGAGTTCAAGACCAGCCTGGCCAACATGGTGAAACCCCCTGTCTCTATTAAAAATACAAAAATTAGGCAGGCATGGTGGCACATGCCTATAGTCCCAGCTACTCCGGAGGCTGAGGCAAGAGAATCGCTTGAACTCCGGAAGCAGAGGTTGCAGCGAGCCAAGATCACGCCACTGCACTCCAGCCTGTACTTAATACCACTGAATTGTACAGTTAAAAGTGGTATTAAGTATTAAGTATTTTTTTGTTTTCGTTTGTTTTTTCCTTTCTTTCTTTCCCAACATAAGCTGTTTCAAATGTACTATTGTTTATACATACAAATTGATTTTGTCTCCCACAGTGGCTACAGACTTATTACAATAATGCTGCCACTATTTTAAATATTTGGAACTTCCTCTTTGGGGTTACTTTCAGTGACAACTTATGAATCCAGAACCTTGACATTTTCAAATGTCTCCTTACATGAAATAATAATGCTTATCCTGAGCATCTTTTCATTCATTGTAAGTCTTTTTGACTTTTGAGTATTTTTAAAGAATAAATCTAACTGCAAATGACGAAATGCAGGTACCATATCAGTGTTGCTGAATTAAAAGTTTTGTCATTTGTGGTAAAAATACTTTTAATGAATAGTTATAAAAATGTTCTGAGAAACAGCAACAAGCACTGACTCTAAAATCACTAGCTATATTGACTATATAAACATTCTGATATTTACCTAACTAGTTAAAATTATTAACTAGTGTAGAATTCTTTTCAAATTTTAAGAGAAGATATTTTAATAAAACCTCATTTATTTAATCGCCACTTAGCAATCTCAACTATAAAGGCGGCAACAGTGAGTCAGACAATAGAAATAACTCTAACAAAAATAGTATTTTGGTTTCTAAATTCACAAGAGATTAGCAACGCCAAGTTAGGAGAAAGAATAGCGCTCTTGCAGACCAGAACAGTGACAAACTGGCAAAAATGAGAACTCAAACTCTGGGTCTTTTCAGATAAGTGCACACTGATCTGAATACTTCCTAGTGCCTCTGAGAACATTATTACTTGCCTAGAACAAAATACTGTGTATCTGGAGATAGGGCCTTTAAAGAGGTGATTAAATTAAAATGAGGCTGTTAAAGTAGTCTCTAATTCAGTTTGACTGGTGTCCTTACAATAAAAGTAAATTTGGAAACAGAGAGACACCAGGGGTGCCTGTGCGCAGAGGGATGACCATGTAAGGACAAAGCAGTGAGAAGGAGGCCATCGACAAATCAAGGAGAGAAGCCTAGCACAGATCCTTCCCTTATGGTCCTCAAAAGGAACAAACGCTGCTGGCACCTTGATCTTGGGCTTCTAGACTTCAGACTGTGAGAAAATACATTTCTATTGCTTAAGCCACCCAGTCTATGGAATTTTGTTATGTTAGCTCTAGAAAATGAATACATTATGTATTCTTTATATGCAAAGGTTTCAAATTTATAGCATATGTCTGAAAAAATGCCAGAAAGAATAAAATTGAAAGTTTATTTTTTCGCTTAAAAGGGCAATACTCAAAACCACAATAAAGTGTCACTTCATACCTATTTGCTGTTTCCAAAAGAAAAAAAAAACCGTGTTGGCAAGGATGTAGACAAATTGAAACCCTCAGGCATTACTAGTGTGAATGTAAAATAGTGCAGCCACTATGGAAAACAGTTACGTGGTTCCTCAGTTTCATGGTTCGTTGGACATAGAATCACCATATGATCTAGCAATTCTACTTCTAAATATATACCCCAATAAACCGAAAGAAGTCTTGAAAAGATATTTGTATACCCATGTTCATAAGCAGCATGATTCACAATAGCAAAAGGCAGAAGCTTTTTTTGATGGACATCCACATGTCCATCAATATATGAATGGATAAACAAAATGTGATGTATACATATAATGGAATATTATTCAGCCTTTAAAAGGAATGAAATTCTGACACATGCTACAACTTGGATGAACTTTAAAAATATTATGCTAAGTGAAATAAGCCAGATACAAAAGGACCGATACTATATGATTCCACTTACGTGAAATACCTAGAATAGGCAAATCCACAGAAACAGAAAATAGAATAGTGATTTCCAGGGGCTGGGGGCAGGGGAAAATAAGGTATTATTGCTTAATGGGTGCTGAGTTTCTGTTTGGAATGATCAAGAATTTCTAGAAATGGATAAGTGGTGATGATTGAACAACACTGTGAATATACTTAATACCACTGAATTGTACAGTTAAAAGAGTTTAAATGGTACATTTTATGCTATCTATGTTTTATCACAAAACAACAAAATGTCAATACCTGAGTAAATGGAATGTCATAATCCCTGTAGAAACCAGTTCTTTTTTTATGGAAACTTTCTGCATGTTCAACATCTGAATCAAGGCTGTAGTCCGAACTATCATCACTAGATGGGGAATTATGCTGAAGAGAGGGAAAAGACAGACATGTTACATTTGCAAAAGGAAGTAATTAGATAAGCTTGTTTCAGCCAGAGGTACCAACCAGTAGATTATATTATTCCAGAAGACTCTGAAGTACTACTGAAAAATTCTTGTTCAAAACTCCACCACCATTCTAACTTTGCTAAGGTTTTCTGAGAAGAAAGTACATCTTCCTCTCTGCTCAGAGACTATAACATTTTCCTTATCATCCTTTTGACCTAAAGAGAAATACTCTGCCCGTGTGCTCTAAAATGAACTACTTTTAAGCTAACCCTAAATAAAGTAAAATTGGCTCCTGGATCACCAAAAAGAGTCCTAGAGTATGAGCAGAGTATGTATTAATTTGTTTTTACCTAAAATGGCTTTGGAGTTCTTATTCTATTGCATGAGTACTCAAAAACTAAAAGATACCAAAACATTACTAATTAGAAAAATGAAATAAATCTGGTCCACAAAGTTGAACAAAAGTGAAAAGAAAAGCATAAGTAATTGATAATGACTAACAAATATCAAGAGTAAGCTTTTTCAAGTATTAATATAATTTCCAAAAAAATGACCAAATCTCCTCCATCTAGTCAAAATGATTACTTTCCCAACTTGAGCATTCTCTTTAAAGAGTTCTTAAATTTCTTGGCAGTGAAGACACTGGCTCTGTGTACTGTCATCCTTGCATTCCCAGCATCTAGATTTAGTACAAACTCAGTACGAATTTGCTGAAATGATTGAACTCTGATGCTCTTATAAGAGAAGGATTTGTTTTTCTCTACCCCATTCTTAAATGTTCTTTTAGGAAAGACAAACTGCTTTCCTCTATCTTGTTCCTAAATGATCTGGAGTTTGGTTTTTATGGTTTTCTTGCTTTTGCCTTTGTTGATTTGATAGGTGATATGAAGAAATCTTTTTATAATTATGCTGTCAAATGCTTCAACTTTAATATCTAATCATTCTTGGCTAGGGTTTAAAATAAATAATGTCTATTTAAAAGCCCAGTTTGCTCGGTCACCATTAGAAGTCAGCTCCAGGTCTAAGGAAAACCTTTTACTGAAAAAATACTAATAGAATTATACTCTGAAAAGATTTGGTCCTTATGTTTCTTGGTAGGATACACTAAACTCCAAAAAGTCTCAGATTTTTTGACTCTCTGGAATTAATTTTGTTAGGTAGTACTTTTCTAGAAAATTTTCCATTTCATCTTGGTTTTTATATTTATTTTCATAAAATTATATACATGAATTTCCTATTATTTTAATTTCTTCTTTTTAATAGTTATTTCACCCTCAGCATATACATTTTTTCCTTTCCTTTTTATTATTAATTGGTTTGGTCAATGATATATATGTTGTTAATCTTTTTTAAAAAACTACTGGTTTTCAGGCTGGGCGCGGTGGCTCAAGCCTGTAATCCCAGCACTTTGGGAGGCCGAGGCGGGTGGATCACGAGGTCAAGAGATCGAGACCATCCTGGTCAACACGGTGAAACCCCGTCTCTACTAAAAATACAAAACGTTAGCCGGGCATGGTGGCGTGTGCCTGTAATCCCAGCTACTCAGGAAGCTGAGATGGGAGAATCACCTGAACCCAGGAGGCGGAGGTTGCGGTGAGCCGAGATCGCACCATTGCACTCCAGCCTGGGTAACAAGAGCGAAACTCTTTCCCAGGCTGGAGAAAAAAAAAAAAAACTACTGGTTTTCATTCTAATTTATATAACTTCTGCTCATAAATTTACTAAGTACTTCCTTTTTGTTTGCTTTGTTTCGTTATTATTCTATGCTGTTTGATCATAGCTTAAATTCTCTTCTTAACTTTTTGTCATTTTAAAATATTAGGTTAGGCCAGGCATGGTGGCTCACGCCTGTAACCCAAGCACTTTGGAGGCCAAGGTGGGCGGATCACCTGGGGTCGGGAGTTCAAGACCAGCCTGACCAACATGGTGAAACCCCATCTTAAAAAAATAAATAAATAAAAATAAAATATTAGGTTAAATTTTTCATATGCTTTGTGAGTATTCTTTCTTTTCCAGAAGACTTATTCTCTTCATTATCCTCTTTTACTTTAAAATAATAACCATAGAATGTGACCACAGTCCTATCTTGCTGCTCATGTGAAAAAAATAGATGGAATGGCCAAGAAAGCTTTCCTGGCTTCATGGCTCTAGGGTTATCTCTTCTGATGTTAGCATGAAGCATTCAAAAATACGGCTATTTTCTGAGCTATGTCTCTTCTGCTTCTTTCCCCCATTCGTTATCTAACAATTTCTTTCCTTGGCCCTATATACCTGTCTCTCAGTGTAGATTCTACCTCCAGCAGTTACCTCCTCAGTTTGGGACTGTGTCATAGAAAGGGATCTAGTTGATTCTTATTAGGGGTTCGTTCAACAGGTCCAGACCTTTTCAGCACCATTCAGTTTCTGTGGTCACCTTACATTCATGCATAAACTTGTGGGTCAAGATGGCCAGGAGGAGACCTGTGTTAATTAAATGTAAATAGCTATAAGCTTGCTTGGCTCAGAGAACAGTTAAGTTTATACACTGAACTAAACTATATTATTGGTGCAGTTAATTAGAAATCAAGAGGCAACAGGAGGCCTAAGGTAAAGACCATCTGAGAGCACAGTAACACCGGGGAACACCTCGAGGTGGCTGCAGAGCAGGGAATACTGCTCTGGTCCCACAAAAGTCTTCTTAACATGGAGACTATATAAGGGCCCCCTAAAGAAGGCTTATGCAAAGATCTCTGAGGAGGGAGGCGACCTCTGCTCATAAGATTCGGGAGGGTCTTTGCAGATGGGAACTGGCAAAGGAGAAAAGCCTTGCAGGGCAGAGATCACTGAACACCTCAGGCTCTGCCTAGGTTCTCGGAATATGGAGTAATTTTAATTGCTTTATGTCCTCAATGCTCAGGAGATAAAAGCCCCTTGATGCACTGGGAGAGTGGTCAGACCCTGTGGCTCCTAATCCGCTATACTTCTGATGAAGCTGCACTCTGATAGCAATCGGTGATAAACTCAGAGTACTAGTTTAGCATGTCTTAGAAGGATCTCAGGTGCTCTCCCCACCCTGGCTATCTTACCTACTCCTTCACCCTCCCCTTCCACTCCCATAAGATCAATGAGATTGTGCACATAATAAAGTGTTTGGAGCCCAGAGCTCAGGACCAGTGCGGTTCCCACACTTGCGTTGGTCCCCTGGACCCATGCTGTAAATTCTACTCTTGTGTCTCTGTCTTTATTTCCTTCTCAATCCCTCGTCACTGCTGGGACTAAGGGCACCCACGTACGGCGTTGGGCTGGTTCCCAACATAAACTGGTGGTAGTACAGCCCCCTCCCAGTTTCTATTGCTGTTCTCAGATAGGCTCATGAGGTTTCTATGCGAGACATGCACCATTTGAGATGAATATCTGTTGACAACTTCGTTTCTGGAAGTCCCTTTATTTTCCCTCTGCTTCATTTGCACCAATGCTGTTACTACACTGGTCTTGTTGCTATCTATGGTTTGGCCCTAATCATTTGTATTTTTTAGGTTTATCAGAGTTAACTTTTTTCTTCCTTTTTTTGTAGATGTTGTCAATAGGTTTTGGTTGTGTTATCCTAATTGATGCGTTTTTAATGGAGGAAATCCAGGGAGTTTCAAAACCTGCCCCTCCATTGCTGCCAACTTTTCTGTGATTGCTCAGTCAGCATAGGTTCCCCTTCTTCCCTATCCCAAATCCTCATAATTCTCCATCCAGTACTCTGTTTTTTTTTTTTTTGACAGCATTTGTTTTTCATTTGTGTGTTGCCTCTCTCCTTCCCATTGCAATGTAATCTCTTTAAGACCCAACTGTTTCACTCACTACTATAACCCTTAGCATACAGTATAAAGGTTTCCATAGTAAGCACTTAATAATACATACAAATGAATAAGTAAATAAATAAACAGATGGACAAGGCCAATGCTGCTAATCTGTATCTGTAGAGAATGAAACTCTCTTTCCTTAACCTCCCAATATCCATGTATACAATCTTCCATCAATTAAAATACTGTTTATTTTAATCTGCATTAAGATTTAACCTGAAGCCCGACATGGTGGCTCACACCTGTAAACCTCGCAATTTGGGAGGCCATGTTCAGCAGATCACTTGAGCCCAGGAGTTTGAGACCAGCCTGGGCAACATGGCAAAACCCCGTCTCTACTAAAAATATAAAAATTAGCTAGGTGTGGTTGCATGTACCCACAGTTCCAGCTACTCAGGAGGCTGAGCAGGGGATCACCTGAGCCTGGGAGGTCAAGGCTGCAGTGAGCCAAAACTGTGCCACTGCACTCAAGCCTGGGCAATAGACTCTGTCTCAAAAAAAAAAAAAAAAAAAAAAGATTTAACGTAATTACTTTTTAAATCTTTAAGATAATTCATATGATCTTTGTTTAAAAAGTTTAATCACATAAATAAAAACAAATAATCCATATGTTTTATAATAAAATAATGACTTCTACTTTGTAATTTTTAGTATTTTATATTTCATAAAAATTTATCAAAAGAATAAAAAGATTCTAACCTTATGTTTCTCACGTTTTCTCCTTTTGGATTTTTTCTTTTCCCTTTCCTTCTTGTGCTTTTTTCTTGATTTTCTGTAGGCTTTCTCACTTTTCTGCTTTTCATTCTCTTTTGCTTCTTTTTCTTGTATATCTTCAAATCCTGCATCATCTATTTCACCATCTTCTAATTCGCCATCTTCTCTATAGAAGAAAAGGAAAACTTTAATTTTCAAATATTAATTCTAAAACAAATCTGATAGATTTTCAAAAGAAAAAAGGCATATGCCAAGAATGTATGTTATATTCATTTAGACAGGGATTGAAAAAATTTCTGTAAAGGCACAGATAGTAAATATTTTACATTTTCAGGCCACATATGGTTTCTGTTGCGAATTCTTTTTCATTTAACACTTCTTTAAAAATGTAAGAACCATTCTCAGCAGCCAAAGTTTGCAAACCTCTAATTTAGATTAAAATCACTGATTCTCACAAGATGAATGCATGAATAAATACAGTGCTATCCCAAAGTACTGCAATAGTTACCATCTACTAAACTTCCTTCAAAAAAAGGAATTAAACTAAAATGCTGTAAGAAATACTCTACTTATGGGAAGGTATTTTTAACTTAGTGGCCCATAGATAGCTAAATAGTTTTAAAATAAAAGCAATCTAAGAACCAAAAATGGGCTGCTGTTGGGGAAAGAGGATCTAGGATTCAGTTGGTGCAGCTTATGGCTTATCCCTATGCATACAGTTCTTATTCTTTCTTATATTTTTATTTCTAAAAAATAATTATTTAAATAGATAAGATAGGCATGTGGCTTAAAAGGAAACCTCAAAAGGCACAAAGGGATTTGTCTCATTTTAAGTTAAAAAATACTGTATCAGTATCAAATAAACATTTCCTCATTTGAATATTATTAACTTCTTTTTTATTGTATGTTCCCTTTCCTGTGCTTATGTATTTTCAGAAATTTTAGTTGCTGTGCATACCACAAGCTGTATTTTGTACTTAAATATGATACATTTCATGGCTGTATATTTATTTGGTCAAGTTATTTTATATCATAAATAATTCACGTAGAACTGGGCATTTGATTTCTTGCCAATAACGCAGCAATACACATTTTTTAGCGTGAAGTTATTCTTTGGTTGAATTTTATTCTTGATATGGGGCTTATTTAGGAGTGAGATTTCTGGTCTACAGAAATGACCCTGCTCATGAATTTTAACATGTATTACCATGATGCTTTGCACAAGGGCTCTACCAATTTAGATCATCTTTAGCAGGGAATGAGTGGATTAGTTTTACTACAACTTCACTAATATTGGTGGTGGAATTTCAGTTGCTTTTTTTTGCTGGCTTAATAGGTCTAAAATTTTACTTTCTTTGATGACTAGTGAAGTTGAATTTTTCCCTGCCTGTTATATTGGTTGTGTACTTTGCCTGTTTGTGTCACTGTCCTTCTTTTGGATTGAGGTCATACTATTTTTTTTAAACTTATCTGTATAAAACATTTTATTCAAAACTAATTATTGTTGGTCATATTTAATACAAATTTTTTTCCTAATCTTAAAAAAAAACTTTTTTAAATAAAATAAAAGCAATCTATATTAATTTTTTTTTTTTGAGACAGGGTCTCACTCTGTTGTCCAGCCTGGAGTGCAGTGGCACAATCTTGTTTCACTGCAACCTCCACCTCCCAGGTTCAAGTGATTCTTGTGCCTCAGCCTCCCCAGTAGCTGGGATTACAGGTGCACGCCACCACGCCTGGCTAATTTTTGTATTTTTGTAGAGACAAGGGTTTCACCATGTTGGCTAGGCTGGTCTCGAACTCCTGACCTCAGGTGATCTGCCTGCCTTGGCCTCCTAAAATGCTGGGATTACAGGCATGAGCCACCATGCCCAGACAGTCTGTATTTAATTTTTACCAACAAAGAAAACAGTAAGCAAACAAATTTTCACACATAGTAACAAAATGCAAGCCACAAAACAATTCCTCAACTTGAATCTGTAAAAAAGATTCATAGTAAAACTATAAATCTAATTCCTTTCCAAATACTAGTATCTTTGCTATTATCAAGGCTAAATCCTAGAAACAAACTGACTTTTATGACATTTTTATAGATAGAAACCAAAATATTCATTAATAGTATTTTAAAATGTAAATAAACCAACCAATACACATGGAAAGATGAATACATAAAGCAATTTTACGTTTAATCATAATTCCAAATAGTTATAGTTTGAAAAAAATGAAACTACTGCAAATAGTACATGCAAAAAGGTGAATGTCTATGTATAAATGGCAGCAAATGAAAAACACCTAAACTATGATGTGTGCATTTTAAAGGTAATTTAGAATTACCAGGTACGTGTAATTTCTAAAATACAAAACTAATCATGTCACTCTCCTGCCATAAATCTTCAATGATATGATATAATATCTCAAATGTGCTTCAAAAGAATCCTCTAGGGATAATGGGTGTGGTCTTAATAAGATTGGCTATGAGTTGGTAACTGCTGACACTGTGGGATGTGTATACAAGGATTCACTCTATTATTTACACATTTGAGGTATTCTATAATAAAAAGATAATCTTCAGTGGTTCCCTTTGCTTACCCAGCTCAATTTCTCAAGTCTACAAGCCTTAAAAAGTGCCTAAAATCTCTCAATGCCTAGCTCACCTCACCAGCCTCACCATATCTCCTTCACCTGCCTAATTCCAAATCATTATTTAGGATGCAGTTTAGATGTCATTTCTTACAAGATGTCTCCCGTTACTACCCAGGTGTAGGTGAGATGCTTCATTCCAAGTACTCCTCTAATAGCTCTCATTTCTCTTATCATTGCACTCTGTACATTATTTCAAATGACTTGTTTGCTCATTGGTGAATGTAGGGTGTATGACTGTCTTTTAGGGATATCTCTAGCACCTAGCACGGCACCTTGCTATTTACTGACTGACTGTATAATAGCCATAACTCTTGAACAGGCATATGATACCATTCTAAAGTGGCTGTAAAGTCACTAGAATTTTCCCCAGCTTCTATTATAAATCAAAGAGGTATATGGTCACTCAGACTTGAAAATTGTTTGTGAGGCAGTCCTCGCATTCTAGCTATTTCAATTAAAATGTTTTGAACTTTTATAAACTATAAAACCTTACAGTCCAAGAAAATGAGTGCACATATTCACCAAAAGACAAGAATGTTTTAGCAGCTCTAGTCATAATAGTAAAAAATTATAAACAACAAATCTCTATCAACAGGCATATTGATATATAATGCTCTATTTATATCACAGAATACGACAAAGAAAAAATTAACAACTGCTACAAAAAACAATATAGAGGAATCTTATAGATATATGAGGAGTGAAAGAAACCAGATACAAGACACCATTGTGTGACTTAATTTACATGCACTTCAAAAACAAACAGACAAACCAATATATGACAGAAGTCAGAATAGTGATTACCTCTTGCAGGAGTGCAAGTGACAAAAATTGGGGTACTAAGGAAACTTCTGAGGTATTTAAATATTCTATATATTGATTTGTGTGGTGATTACTATATACACATTACATATATTTGTAAAAAGTCATCACGTTATACATTTAAGTATTGTGTACTTTGCTGTCTACATTTTTACCACAATAAAATTTAAAACACAAATGACAAAAAAAGTCTATGAGTTTCTATCCTTTCTTTTACTATCTCTCTCCTTAAACTTGAGCTCCTTAAAGCATAAAAAAAAATACATCTGGAAATAACTGCTTCATATTTAGCATTTTAACTAGAGCTATTTAAAAACAAAGTATACATGCTAAAAATGCCCATAAATTCATGTCCTACTTTACATACATTATTTAAGTGTGATATATGGGCCATTTATATTTGTTATGAGACATAAAACATTGCAAGCTTTAAAAATGTTTTTTTATTTCTTTTACCTTAGCCTACTTATCATTTCAGCATTCATATAATAGATTTAAACATGTACATTTTTGTATGGCTACAAAAAATGCGAGAGAAAGAGAGGAAATAAAGAATACTGATTCACACTACAAACTGCTTCCAAACCCTTTAAAAAGTCAGCTTTGGCCACATGGAAAGCATATGTGGTATAACTGAAAGAGAGGAGATTTCACGGGAGGAAAGCTGGATTCCAATTCCAGCTCTATCACCGAAATAAAATAAAGCTTTCTTAATTGAGCACGTAGTAAAGTATCAGATACTAACCTTGTGATACTGAGAAATTCCAAGAATAGAAGAGGTAACAGAAGTAATTAAGAGTGCTTATCATTCTCTAGATTTTGAACTTAATACTATTATATAAGAGCTATTTTGTTTACTAAACACAAGATTTTTAAAAAATATCATACATCAAACAGATAAGTTCCACAGTCAACTAATTATATCTAGGTGATATTTATTAACATAAACCAACATAATAGAGTGATTATGTCCTTTTCAAAAAGGAGCATATTCATGTTCTTGTACCAATGACTAGTAAATAACTTCCAGTTAATAAACAAAATTAATTTTAAAAGATTTTATCTCTTAAGCAAATCTATATAGATACCAAGTAGATTAGGAGTTGCCAGGTAGATTAGAGGGAAAAATGGAGTGACTGCCAATGGGTACAGGGTTACATTGTGGAGTGGTGAAATGTTCTAAAAGTAAATAGTGGTAATGATTGTACTACTCTGAATATACTAAAAACCAGTGAACTGTACACTTTAAAAGTGAAATATATCTCAATAAAGCTGTTATTTTTAAAAAGTTAAAAATATTTTTTCTCTAGATTTAAATATCTAGATTGCAGAAAACTGGGGAAAATCATAATACACTATGGTATAGCAACTCAAGACTCTGAAAATGGTCAGTACCCTCATCATCCATGATGTTCTTATTCTAAGGTAATTATTCACTAAATCTTTATAAACTGCTATGCCTTAATAGAGGATTCTTTTTCCATTCTGACATTGCTGGCTATTAAAATAAATTAACCTGAACTACTCAGTCTTACCTCCACAGGTAGTTTCTGCTTTTTCTTTATGCTTGCCTAAAGGCTCCTGTTACAAGCTACAGATCAGAAACTGAGTCTTCTGGAAGAAACACAAAAGCCTCTATAAAAGACTATACAAGTACTCCTAATAGATGATAGCACAAAGACATTACCCGTGAATGCAAAT